TTACAGATATGGATGTTTTCTCTCTTCAAAGACACTGCAAAGCTGGTATAACTATGGAGCCTCCGGTTTCCTGCAGGAGGCAAAAATATTGGTAAGGAAGCTGAAGTCTCTCATCTGCACATCAGGCTTACCAGACTGTGAACACAGCATGTAGGGGTTGGGTACTCATTTACACCCAGATGTGAGATTAGGCTCAGTCATTCTCTTCCTCGACATTTGAGTTAAAGTAATATAGTTCCCCCAGCCTAACACCTTATATGCTGCTTGAGGTTTAAAAGTCAACATCCTCTGAACCTGGAACCGAACGCTCCTGCCCTGATCTCTCAAAGGGGGACCTCTGAGGGCTTGTTTGACTTCTATACTACATCAAGCTGCTAAGGAGTGATAAGTAATTCAGCATGAAAAGAAGCTCAAGACAGCATTTGCTTTTCCTTCACATTTACCACAATATTGATCTCTATTTTTGGAAAACAGCCTCGATTTGTGATTTAGTAACAGCAGCCAGGTTAATTGAACAGTGCTGTTTGTTGTTTGACCTTCTACTTTTATCTCTCCTGGCCATTTCTACAATTCCTCTGGAGAGCACAAAATGTTTGAGTAGATGATGCACCATAGATCTAGAAGGAGAGGAACAAATAGCAGTGGACCTGTATAAACACTGAGAATAGAGAAGCAATGCAAGAATTTACAAGCAGTCCTTATGCAGGGTCAACATATCCCACGTGGATAGAATGCAATTTATTTATTGAAACATAAAAATATTTATAAAGACCCTGAGCAAAGCAAAGTGCCATAATTATGCCACTGGACAAATGAAAGTCATGCCAAACACACCAAGGCACCAAGTCCGTGAGTGGATTTCCTCATAATCATTTCTCCAGTAGAAAAGCAGTCCTCCTGTTTCATAACCCAGGCCAGGAGCTCTAACAGAACTATTTCCTCACATATGAAGGTATCAACTTATTCAGCAGATGCTTGTTAAAAAAATGCATTAACATACCCTAATACTGAATATTAGGACTTCAGCTTGAGTATATTACCAGCTGAGTTTCTCCCACTTGCAGATTACCAAAAGATTTTGATTTTCTTATCTGTGTGCTCACTGTTCAGGAGTCTTCAACCGAATGCTTTTTTCCTGCAGTTTTTGTAATTCTTGATGTGATACTTGTTGCCTAACCCCCTCTCTGGGGCACAAACTGTACTGTGAATATAAAAAGAGAACTGATGGAGCTCTGTAACCAATCATGAGTTTGTCTGGCATCAACTATTACTCAAATACAATTATATAAGATTCTGAACTATTTAGAATACCTAAAAATAACCTCTCCTCCAGCTGGTTGCTCTCTGAACCATTATCATCTGCCATAATGATAACAGAGACTGCTATCAGACACAGGCTGTGTGGAGGGCTGCAGAAACTTCCTCCTACTAGTGTTTCCATGTGTTACAGGGAACAGACCCAGTCAGAAAACCCCTCTACTCTGATATCAGAGTTCACAGGTTGATTGGCAAAGGAGGCCATATAGATGAAGCTTTTCTGCATACACGGCGATGTGTTGAACTCTTCCTTCTATGGGAGAGAAGGCATAAATTAAACAGCTACCTGGCGGTGTTGCAACTTCTTTAGTAATTAATGTTACTACACCACAGTGCTTGAAGAACTGGAAGCCAAGATACAGCAATCTCCAAGACAGTTAAAATAATGAGAGCTTCTAGACATAGCATCATTGCTTAGTATTTTCCAGCAAAAATTCCTGCCGTACCCTTCACCTGCTTGAGTCCTAGCCTACGTTTATAGAAGTCAGAAAAACCTCTCCTCTCATAGGCACATATTCCTAACATGTTCATTGTCAAAACCCAGGTAGGTTCAGGTAACTGTTCAGCCAAAGATTCACACAATTCTAGATAAATAGTCTCATCTTTCCATGGTTTTGCGTTTAAGACCACAACCCACTCACAACAAGGCCTCCCCCCCCCCCCCTCCACATTTTATACATACCCAAATACAAAAGGAACTTCTAGGAACTACCATCATGCAAATAGAAATAGTAACAGATGGTTAACACTATTGATTTTGCAGGAAATAAGAATTACACATCATCCTAAGCCAGTTCATCAGTAATTCCCCATAGGGGAGTCTGCCTTAGTTTCTCTAATAGCTGTACAACATAACTACGCTTCTAAGCCATCAGGAATAACATTTGACTGCATATTTTCCAGAATATACATCTGGGGCAAAAGCCGCAGCTGCGATGTGAACAATTTAAACATTCACCCTCACACAGAGATCTAGCACGTGGCTTTATCCATCAGACATCTACTATTTTGGATATTTGAGTTGTGGTAGAATAGACCTGCCCACAATGAATTAAACCCTGGGTGATCATCAGGAAGCGAGGAACTGCTTGATTACTTAACTAATGGAAACTGAACAGGTGTACTCAAAGTTAGGATAAAATGCTTGTTTCTTTTGATAATAGTTTTATTTACTGATGAAAGTCATAATGATCTAGTGTCATAAAAATTAGCCTCAATTAATTTTTGAATTAATCAGATGTGTTCCTGGTAATTTCCTTGTCCTATACCCTTTTAAAAAATCTTCAATTGATAAAAGGAATTTTAGTTCAAAGAAACTCAGAGATTTCTTTTTAGCAGAGATTCAAGATAATTCAATTGGATTCAAGAGAATAGATGCAGAAGTTATGAGGGTGAATCTCATCAGACTGCTTTGAAACCATGTATTAGAAGCCAATTACTATATCAAAGTCACCACAAATCATCAAATATCCTCATTAGCCACCATTTTATTTTGTTTTTAGTTTTCAAAAGTGACAAAGACTAATATAAACACAAATTTTTAACCCAAAGCCGAAACTATACCCAGCAGCAAGCTAGAGAATCTAGACACTAAGAGGGAGATGTGACTGGGGAAATCTCTTTCAAAATATCTTGCATGCACCTGTGCCTCAGTTACTTAATTTGCCTTCAAAGGGTACTTGTACATCTTCTAACTCTTGTCAGAACTTCATTTACACCTGCAGAAGATCAGACCCACGCAGATTAAACGTTTTGTGCTGGCATTTGAAACAGGGTGGATTTCAGTCACTGATTTAAGTAAACAGGAGTAAAGATGCAAAGTGCAAAATGTTACTGACTCACAGGAGTGAGTGGTCATGGGGGCTGAGGATGAAAATGAGCATGAGTGAGCAAACCAAACTGACTGTGTAGTTCCCCAGACTGCTCTACTTCCCAAGAACAGGCCCTAAAGCTACTGTATGGTCCACAGTGACCCCAAGATAGGGCCACAAGGTACAGCAAATGGCTGCTCTGCCCACAAGGACTTCTGGGTGGGGGTGGTAGGATTCCCACATAATTGTTGCATTCATTAATCAAAATAAGAATGACAAACAACCTATAGATTTTTCGGGAGGTGGGGGATGGGACAAATGAAGGGAATGAAATTGTCTTTCTCACTGCTCCTTCTGAGAATTGCCAGAGGGAGTCTTTGGGGGCTGCAAGTAAGTAACAGTAAAACTGTTTTTAATCTAAATCAACTTGCTACAGTATATTACACACTTTTTAGCATTACTTCGATGTTTCTAAAATATGTTAAACTGTATAATATGATAAGAAGTTACAGCTTTTTTTTTTTGTCACAGGAACAAAAATAAAAAATAAAAAGGAACTGATACCACCGACATGTTCAAGAGCACATGAGCTGTTTTGATAACACATTATATTTACAAAGTCTATCCCCAGGCAGGCTGTGCTTAAATGAATTTGGAATCAAAAAGTATGTGGTCAGGATAACTGGGAATATCTCTAGTACTTTTGTTTCTAGCAGTACATAAGTGACACAAAACATAGATGATCCAAAGCATACATCCAAATATATCTTCTCAAAACTTAATTAGAGAAAATTATTCCTGTCCACCTAGGATAATTTCAACTTTTTTTTTTTTTTTAAATGGCTGTTAGCATCACATATGCTTACAGATAAATGTTGTTTCTTCTGTCTGCTTCTGATTTAATTAGGCCATCACTAATTACAATCATGCATGGTCAGTTCTACAAGAAGAGAACATATAAAAACCAACCTGGCTTTTAACAAACAGACCTCGAGCTACATGTTTTGGGGGGAATACTAGTTTGGTTTCACCAATGCTGGATGATCAAATTTATATTTGGCTATATACTCTGGCATTTAATTGTAGAACTTTTTCCCTCATTCTTCCTCCTCCTCCTTCCCTCCTTTCCACAGGAACATAACCCCTCTGAAATTAAACATCAATGCCTAAGATACACAATTTTTTAATACAATTCAGAAATCATAATCATACCCTTAGAAACAAGCAATCCGTAAAGTAAAATGCATTCAGTGCCTGAATGTTAATGCAGCAATTAATCATTTTGATATTTTTGCTCTCTCTCTTGCTCATTTTCTCTTGATTTTTTGATGTCAATGCCAACTCAGCACACCATACTTTTAAAAAATCATCTTTCAAGCAGCAGCATTAAACACTTCACAGTGGAAAGCAAACAAAATCAATACATATTATAGTATTTATGGTATAACGAACACTACAGCTATGGTTGCAAAGACACTTATGTGCTAAGCCTCCTTTCCCCACTCACTCTCAAAGAAACAAAACCAGCCTGAAACACAACGGCTTTCTTCACAAAATCTACTGTTCAGTTGAGATGCCGTGGGAAAATACTGTTACTTCTTCCACCAAGAACAACCAGCACTGTATCTGTGGAAGTCTTTATATATATTTGAGGAGGAACAAGCCTTATGAGATCATCCAAAAACACCATAGAGTGTGCCAGGGTGAGCTGTGCAAGGCAGGGCATTCCTATTAACTCAGCATGGCACAAAGATCCCCATCGAGGAAACCAATGCAAGAACAAAGGGAAATGAGAGGAAAGGAACAATTTCTATCAACAATGCAAGTTTTGAGGGATCTCCCCAAATTTTTGTTGTTTGAGCCTTCCCTTACCTTTCAGGGCACAACAGCAAGGACCCAGAACAAGCAAGACCAAGAACCCTCCTGCTGCTGCGACTGATGAGGAAATGTTCTAGCACCTTCCAGCCTCCCTCTCCAGGACTTGTGGTGCCAATAACAAGCCCTTCACTAGCTCCACATAGGCAAGGCTGAACTGCCTGCCATGCCCCAGCTGAACCAGCCCTGTGCAAGTGCTTTCAGGTGCACTGCTCGCATGTGGGCACACCTGTGCATGGGGGACACTAACATGGGGCGTACTTGTGCATGAGGCCCACACACACGTAGGCTACACTTGCGTGTGGGGTGCACCACTTGTACACAGTGCAGTGTTTGCATGTGGGCTGGCTGGCATGCAGGGCACACTGCTGGTACACTGCTGGCTGTGCCCCCTCACAGCACTGTGAGAGCTCAGAGTTGCTAAGCAACATGGTCCTGCCCTCGGGGGGCATTCAGCCGGTATAGATGAAAAATTCCCACATAACGTTTTAATACACTGGGCAAGTAGATATGCATGTGACAATTAACATTCATTTAAAACAAATAAATGATTAATCAGCTGGGATTGCAAATGACAAACTGACACTCGAGGTTCATTTTGTTTAGAGCTGTGCCTCATATTTAGCCAAATCTCTGATTAAAGGCCAAGTTCTAAGGTTCCAAAGAATAAACTTCAGCTTTGATGCTGTAAACATCAGGTTTCTTCGCTGAATTAAATTTTGTGGGGGAGGAAAAAGAAATGAGGTGTTTGTTTTTTATTTCAGAGATTATGAAATCCAGGCGCATCTTCAATGCAATGATTTGTCTCTTCCATCAAACTGCTGCATATGGGGCATGGTATTTTATTAGCAGAGGAGCGAAGAGGGATAACGTAGGACAAGATTAAAACCAAAATGCAGAAATCATAGAGACAGGAAAACAGAGTGTTTTGCTGTTTCAAATTTAAGGAGATTATGCACTGTAGTATTGATTCCAGTTTATCCCAAGGTTTACATGCATATTCTGGTACTATACATGGGAACAATAAATAAAAATCATCTCATGTTACTCAGTACTTGCTTCTAATGACATTTATCACTTTTTAATTTTCAAGGCTCTCTAGTTATTGCAGAAAATGTTTATATTGATTTATGGACACGAGTCCAGAAAGACTCCAGAGGACTTTGTGGGGTTTTGGAGGCAGTCCAGCTGCTGTGGGCGTGCAGTCACCCACATGGCTGCTGTGTGCAGCAAGCCCAAGCCACCACATTGTGCACCCCAGGGACCTGCCACGATCCCCTCCTTGAGCTGGCTCCAGCTGCACAGCATTTGTTACTGTATTACAACAGGAGATCCGAATGTGGCTCAGGAGTCCCCTGCACAGGTAGCAGATGCATATGCAAACACATAGGAAAAGACATCCTTGACTGTGAAGAGTTTACTGGGGACCAGATTGCCATAAGTTATGCACAAGGTCACTTGCAGCACTCTCAGACCATCTCCCAGTCTACCGTGGTATCTCCACCAGCATTCTCTATGTAATTAAACATCCAGCACCTATACTGTTACTCATGCGCATATTGTTACAATTCTCATTCCTTTTAATGATCATGAAAACCCACTGCCTTTCTCTCATTTTATAGTTCCTGCTGCATTAGTTGCCATCGTTTTTGCTCAGTCTGCTTGCAACTCAGCTTTCTGCTAGTATTGTAAGTGCAATGATTTCTCTGCTTCTTTCTCTCTATTTTCTAACTCTCCCTCATGGTCATTCACATTCTAAAATTTTCCTTGCCTATTGCTTCTCCCCACAAGATTTACTGTCTCACCTCTTTGAGCAAGACTGATATTTTCTTTCCCTGAGCGCTGAGTCATTGTTATCTTTTGCCAGCCTTTTGCATCCAAAGTGCTATATAACCAAATATCAGTGTGTTACTCTTTGTGCAATTTATAGCCCTGAGTTGTAGAAGAATCCTTGGTATTCAGGTCAAAACTGGGAGTGAGCCACAATGTACTGACTCTGTGAAAATGGTGATTCTGTCTTTGAATGACTAAGGGTAAATAATTCCTTAACTGAAGTGATAATAAACTACTGCATTGCAACAGAAATACCAGGGTTCCCAGCAAGGTTCTTTTCTACTAAATTAGGTCTATCATTACATCTGTTACTCTGAATCTGTTGCTTATATCTCAGAAATCAACACTAGCAGCTGATGCTGTGAACTAGGATGAAGAGGAAGAAATTCCCCTCCCATTGCAGCAGGCAAATACAGATCTATGATTACTTCTGTCCCTCCCTTCACATACTGTTGCTATTACCTCACTGCACAGAGATATTATCATATTACACTTTCCCTTGCAGTGTTGTGAAGCTGCTTCCACATAAGGTTTCACTCAATCAGAGCATGTTGCATTGGCATCATTTATTCTCAAAAAGATTTTTTAATGGAATGATAAAATTCACAACCAATGTTATTTGCATGAGATCATTGAACCAACCTGTATGACATGTTCTATTAACCATCAGTTCGTAGATAAGCAGCAACTAACAGTGAAGGACTTCATTCTTCAGTCTGAGCCTTGCTAAGAAGAGTTCTCCTGATAATTAAATGCTAATGTTCTTTCATGAGTACATTATAATGAAATAAATTGCTTCTAGGGAACAATAAACTTCAGGCAGCATCTGAAGCATTTTAACAGCACAGAGCATTTGGCTGCTGCAAGATTCACTCGAAAAGGAGAAAGGTAATAACATCTCAGAAACAATTTAGAAAACAATCTTCTGCACTTTCAGTGTTTCTAATAGCAAACTGGGACACTCCAATGTGTGATTTTAGTCCTTCTCAATCACTCACTGCCACCTGGAATGGAAACACATATATGATGTGACTGCAAACCACTGCACTCCAGCTCCCAAAGCTTACTGTGCTTTGGGTTCTTCTTTCGTACATGGAAACACTTGATTCTTCAGCCATTACACAATTAAACTTACTTCATGTGCTGCTTGCTTCCTAGAGAGGTTGTTCACAAAACTCAAGATATTTTTACACAAATCAGGTTTGCAAATTTGGAGGCTTGAGCAAACTCTGAAAGAGCATTGGGAATCCCTGTGCTGCCTGGCCAGGAAGGTTTGGTACAACTGTCAAGCATTTTACAGCATCTCTGAGGATACAGCTCACATAAAATTCAATACAAATGCCATGCAAAAGCCAGGCTCCACACACAGCAACATTTATTTGTCTTCAGAAGCAGAATAAATGAAATGATCATTGTATCTTCCTAATACTTTAAAGTTAGTTATAGAAATGTTTATAAAGGACCAAGAGAGTGTATAGCAAGTATCTTTCCAATGAAATGAAAGTATGCATGTACCCATCCAATTTAAGATATCATCATGCCATTTTAAAACACAGTAGGTGTAAGCAGCAAGCAGAGCAGCTAAAAAAAAATGTAATGACTTATTCTATTGCTGCAGGGCACCAGTAGGAATTCATTTTTCTATTGTGGTGATTTTAACATTTAAATGGTGGTGGAAAAATCATATTTCTGCCATGCTGCAGTTTCAAAGTAACTGGGTAGAGCTTCCTCTGCTTGAAAATTGTTAGTTGCTACAAAGAGTTGATACTATGCATGTTTTAAAAGAATAAAACATACTCATTTTTATAGTGCAATTTCCAAGCAGTGATAAACACACTAGCAAGTATGCTATAGAGATGTGAATGTAAACTGTTCATGCTAAAGACTATCTGGCATCCTATTCAGAAAAGCTATTGTGACTGTTGCTAGGAATATAAAAGTATACAGAGGTCATTCTGAGTCATGTGGAAGAAGGAAAGGAAATTTTTCTTCTACCTTTTTTTTTTTTTTTTTCCTTCAAGTGGCACAATTACTTGTACATTGGCCTTTATCCAAGACAGATGGATTATCACCAGAACAATTTTCAGTAAACCCTCCCTGCATTTACATAATGTAAGTTTTTAACATTTAGCCAATTAAAAGAATTGGTGCTTATGGCTTTAAAGAACTTGTAGGTTAATTATGATTCTCTTTGTAGATACAATAGAAGTGACAAAAATAAAGCACTTTGGTAGTTAAGGAACCTGCTCACTAATTTATGCTACATGGATAAAACTACTATGTAGAAGGTTTTTGTTTTTGTTTTTTCTTGAGTAAGAATAATGTGTTTATGTTCAATTTGTTTTTGAAACAAAAACAAATAGTCCCCCTCCTTAATATCTATTCTACCAATGGAAGTCTTGCAGGATGAGACTGATTTTCTAAGAAAAGTTCTGAAGACACTGCTTTGTTTTAAATAAAAAAGCTAAATATATTTCTTCTCATCTGTATTCTAAATCTGAACCCTTTATTTGAACTCTGTCCTTACAAGTTCTGATGTACATACACCTTTGCAAGAGACTTCAAAACCTGCAGAATGGAAATTTGGATTTAACCATTATCACATAGATAATCCTTGGCTAGACATGTTCTGTTTCTAGAAATGTAATTCCCCACAGAAAGGTCAGTAAACACCTTTTAAAATTCTTTCTGGAAATGGTTGGTTGCACCATGTATGAAAGGATGGCATTTTGTTGGCATGTATGAAAGACACCATGAAATATATATATATATATACACATATATATAATACATATAATGTATATATATTTATATATACACAGAAAGGCTTCAGTAGATTCTCCAATTTAAAGTGAATGAGGGTTAAGTGAAAGCTGGCAAAATACAACATAGTTTGTATTACTACAGCAGAGCATATAGGCTCTGATTTTCATCCACTAAAATTTAAAGCAACTCTTACTGTGGTAGGTGCTGCACAAAGAGGAAGTAAGTTTTCTGTATTAATAAATACTTAAACAAGAAAATCACAATTAAAAAAAAAAAACTTTTTAGATTTATTAGCTTATTGATCCGAGGACATTCAGAAAGTCTTCAACAGGATCAAGCATTTACATTCAGAGCTCTGTATTCCTATTATCTCAATCCTTAAACAACCTCTCTTCTCAAAACATAAACAAAGTTTTACCAATCTATTACTACTTGTTTGTTGTCGTTGTTCTGTCCAAATTTATTACTCTAAATTACAAAAGTTCTTAGAACCATAGAAATAATCCAAAAATATTTAAAGGACGTTAAGTTTTCTCTTGTGAAAGCTAACTATTAACTAACATTAAAGCACCACCTTTTTATTTCTCTGCCAAGGAGCAAATTTAAGACTATGTTAGCCAAAGGATACAGGAATAATCCTTTGTCTATGAAGTTTACTTTTTTTTTTTTCCCATATTTTCTGTTTTAGAAAAATAGACCTCCTAGTATGTATTGTTAATAGTAATTACTTTATTTAGAATACATTTTTTGTAGAGAAACATAAATCATCCTAGATTTCTTGACACATATTCTGTAATG